GTAAACATCTGAGTGTTCTGTTTGGTTATAGGACATCCAGGCTGTGACGTGTTAACTCTACAGAGACTTGCACCAGCCAGTGCAAAGCCATCCACGGCAAGAATGAAATGCTATCAGAGTTCAATCTGTGGGGGCAGTATCTTGGAAACAAAACAGACCTTGGTTTTAGGAGGAAAGATCCAAAATGTAAGTTCAATGTTACAAACTCCCTCATTTATACATCACATCAATCCCATAAAGTTATCTGTACTGCATTCATCTACATGTGTTGAGCAGTTTTGAATACTTACACATCCTATCTCCCCCGTCCCTCTGCCCAACAGCCACACAGTGTGACACCAACGTACTTTGCAAACTTCACAGTAGTTGCGTTCCGAGGCACAAACCCAGTGTGGAACTGAATCTGGAACATCTTCATGGATGCCATCTGCAAAGAGAAAGCAAACGAGAGGTTCCACACACTGTGGAGAAGGCAAGCAGACTCTCCCTTCACAGACAAAATCCTCCTCCTGTAGGAAAGACAGCTGCTGTCCAGGCGCAGGAGAGTATTTCACATTTAACAAGCTCCCAAGGACACTGCAGATGGTGCCCTCATGTAGCATACTGTGGGGGCGAGGGGCAGAGGAGAGAGGTGGAGAGGGGAGGAGAGAGGGGAGGGGAGCAGAAGGAGGAGTCAGCAGCAGATGTGGAGACGGAGAAGACATTCGAGTCCTAGGCGGCCCAGGTCCCTGTGACCCCAAATAAGCAGCAAGCAGCAAGCAGAGGTCTACGGTTATGCAGCAACCAGGCTGAAGCCCAGCACACATGCAGTGAAGGCTATACAGTTCTGTAATGCTTGAAGGGGATGCTGGAAATTCCAGATTTTTCAGGTAATGCCCCCTCTGCCTTGTGCTATGTGGAGAATGGTAGGTACTCCGTGAGACACTTATGTGATTAAAGCTTAAACACTCCTGCTGGACAACAAGCCTGACTCAGAAACCCTCTATAAGAATTGCCAATGAAGCCAAAGAAACAAGAAGTAAACATCAAGTGCTGGCAGCAGCAGAACACGGGACGAGCTGCACACGCTGCAAAGGGGCCCGTGGAGACACTCACCTTGGCCTGCAGTCTTCCTCCCAGAGTGGACCTTGCGTGATAAATGATGATGAGCACGTCTCCCTGAACTGTTATGCCCAGGGGAATAACTGCTTTGCCATCCTCAATCTTAAAATCCCTAACAACAGAACGACAAGGAAGTGTTAGTCCAAGGCCAACAGATCAGACTTGATGAAGAGCGACCCTCAAAGGCTGATAGGTCCCAGGAAGAAAGCTAAGATCCTTCTGAAGTTGCAAAAGCTGAAATTCATGCATTCTTATCTTACTGACTTTGGCACCAGTGAAAATAATTTCCTGGGGTGTTTATTCCAGGAAGCTACTTTCAAGCAGCTACTCCCCGAGTACACAATGGCCATGGTAACCTACCCAAACACGGCAATGGCTACAAGCCTGTGTGGCTCAAGCCTGCTTATCTGGCTCAAAGCCACCAGTCTAAGCAAAGGTCAAAGACATCACAGCTCCAAAGTTATCTACCTAAGCAAACGTTTCTCACAGCACGGTTAAATTTTCTCCTTAAAAGTTTTCCTGAACCATGAGAATACACAGATGTCACAGCCATGGAGCAAGGATGCTCCATGTCTGAACTCACTTCATCTTGTCATACTCCTGGGACGTGGTGGTCACACGTTCGTCTCCAACGTAGACCTCACAGAAGGGCCGGCAGCCGTTCCTCTGCTTGCTAAACAGGGGCACGGGGGTCATGATGACGGCTTTCACCAGGATGGGCTTGCTGTGGGGCGTGATGGGCTCCTCTGCCACCATGTCACACATGTACTCGATATACCTGCAAGGCCATTCAGCACACCCTGTCACATGTGTACTCTATGCCCCTGCAAGGCTGCTTAGCACACCATGTCACATGTGAACTCTACGAATATGCAAGGCCACTCAGCACACCATGTCACATATGTACTCTATTACCTGCAAGGCCATTCGGCACACCATGTCACATGCGTACTCTATCTATCTGCAAGGCCATTCAGCACGCCCTGTCACACATGTACTCTATGTACCTGCAAGGCCACTCAGCACGCCATGTCACTCACACGTGTACTCTGTGTACCTGCAAGGCCATTCAGCACACCATGTCACATGTGTACTCTGTGTACCTGCAAGGCCA